TTTGACAATGTCAATAAACATATAACTTTTCACTGAAAGTGACTGACAATTATCCACCAAATCATCTCTTATTAAAGCTAATATTTGTTGATAAAAATGAATCAGGGGACCCATTTGACTAATTCTCCTGAAATCAATCTGGCTCCACCATTCACTTAAATGTTATTTTCCTTTTCTTTGCAACACCTATCTTTATGACAATATTATAATTATTTGACCAGGATGTATTTGCTGCTGGAACTGATACTTCAGCAACAACACTAGAGTGGGCTATGGCAGAAATAATGAGAAATCCTAGAGTGAGGGAGAAAGCACAAGCCGAGATAAGAGAAGCATTTGGAGAAAAGGAAATAATTCATGAAGCTGATCTTGAGCAACTTACTTACTTGAAGTTGGTGATCAAAGAGACATTGAGGGTACACCCACCTACTCCTTTATTGCTCCCTAGAGAATGCTCAGAACTAACAATCATTGATGGGTATGAAATACCTGCAAAGACTAAAATCGTGGTAAACGTTTGGGCAATTGCAAGAGATCCACAATATTGGACTGATCCTGAGAGGTTTTTCCCAGAGAGGTTCGATGGCAGTTCTATCGATTTCAAAGGGAATAACTTTGAGTATCTCCCTTTCGGGGCTGGAAGGAGAATGTGTCCTGGCATGATATTTGGTTTAGCCACCATTATGCTTCCATTGGCTCTATTACTCTATCACTTCAATTGGGAACTCCCTAATGAGATGAAACCTGAGAGTTTGGACATGACTGAACACTTTGGATTGGGTCTTGCAAAGGAAAAGGAATTGTGTTTGATTCCCTATGTTTATGATCCTACGGTGCATCATTGACATTCAGCCACTTTGTTAATTTTATGTACTTCGGAAATAAATGCATGAGTTTTATTTCATCTTTAGTGACATGTTCTGTTTAAGATTTACGTAGAAATAAAAGCTAGGTTGTCCTACAAACAAAATAGTTTCTGAACAATTCTCGTTTCTTAGGGACAATTGAAAAAGTTGTGTCTCATTTGCTCTTTGATGTACTTTTGAGATATGTGTAAATGCAGGAGAACACGAACTTATCAACGACCTGCTTATAAAGGCATCTTGATTTCTCTTCAATTTCTACAAACTACAGATGATGTTCCAACCCGTCTACATATTTAAATTTTGTCAAGTTACGTGTCACTAAAAAATATAATAAGCAAAGATGAAAATATGTAAATATCTTTAAAGTATCGCTAAGGTGATTTTAATTTATATACAAATAAGCTTTTAATCTGATCGCTTATCAAAAATTTTCAGATGGCGAACAACAGAGATTGAAAAAAGAGGAAAAACTATATAAAATATAAATTACTAAAAACAAATTAACGAGAGAGTAAATCAATTGATAATTATTCTCTCTATGTATATTTATATATTAAGGATATTTTTATTAAATTTATAATTGAATGTTGATTGATCCTATAATGTCATTTGATTTAGTCATATGCCCTTTATCAATAAATCTTTGAAATTATATTCCCGTCACTTATGTTTTTATTTAATTTGTTAATTTCATAAAAGGTCGTTATCTTTAATTTTTTATTAATATTCAAATAAATATCTTTAATTGTGATGAATGCTTTAAATTTGAATTTGTACTTCAGAGATTCTTTTTCCATGTCACTTAAATTGGGAATTCTCCAAATGAAACTTGAGAACTTGGATTTGACCAAACGTTTTGAAATGACAATCGGAAGGAAATAAAAAGTATAACTGATAAGCAGCTGTTGCGACGCCAATATTGCTTTTCGTAGTTATGGGTCTCGGACGAACGCAAGGTGAAATTGAGAGAGAAAATAGAAAAAAAAAATGTTATAATTTTTTAAATATTTAATAGGGCTAATCGCAACCGGGTGGTCTTAAGAAACACATATTTTAAAAACAAAATATTTTTTAAAAATAAAACAAGTCACTACTAAAATTTATTTTAAGAAAATCTTAAATTTTTTTAAAAATAATATAATTTTTTAAAATAAAAAATAAGTTTAAAAATCATTTATAAGTAGAAAAATATTAGTATCTACAACATTTGTTTAAATAATAATTACTTTAAATTAATTATACAAATTTATTTTAATTTTAAAAATACTTATTTAATACTAAACAATAATTATTATTATTTTTATTTTAAAAAAAATAAATTATTTATTGAAATGTTAGTTAACAGGTCTAGTTCTAGCTCTTACATATTTCTGAGTGTAACGAGGAACTCAAAACCATATAGTTCTATTAAAATAATTTATAAAATTTGTTAATTAAATTAAGTTTAATAAAAAAACGTTTATTTTGATAAAATTATAGCATTTAGAATATAGGATAACGCAGTTATACATGCATCATATGATAAATAATATAAAAAGCGAAGAAAGATCACATAACTATATATCAAATTGTTAAAAAAATATTTTTATTTATAAATAAAATATTTAAATTTATGTTTTGATTATGATTTCTATTGAAAGAGAATTCACAATAGCATAAGTAATACATAAATTTTTTATAATTTATTGGATAATTGAAAGTAATGTAAATTAAACATTGATGTTGTAAAAAAAGTATTATAAAATGAAGAACTAAAATTAACTAATTAAGTATTTAGTTAATTAACTAATCAAAGTTAGAAATATAACTTAATAAAATTTAAAATTTAAAATTAGTTTTATTTAATAAAAGGAATAAATATTTAATTTGATTAAAGAAATATAACTATTAATAAAAAGATTGAAACACGTAATGTTGATACAAAAAAGTCTTAACGATTTAAAACATATAAAAATAGAGACACTATACAATAACATTATAAATCACCGCATTAATATAATAATTTTAATTTAAGTCGATTGATTAATAAATTAGTAATTAAAAAAATAAATATATCTTGATTAATTATTAAAATAATTATTTGATTAATTAAAGATAATATATGATAAATTAATATTGAATAAAGTTTCGTTACCATAGCTACACGTAGACTTTATCAATTTATAATATATGACGATAGAGAAGCTATGTATTAGTATTATAAATTGATGTAATTATATTATTATTTATTTATTGATTATATAAAAAAATTACTATTCATAACATAAGAAAAAATAATTATAAGTATAAAATTAAATTACATCATTTACAAATATAAAATAAAAGATAACAATTTTAAAGAATAAATAAATAACATAAAAATCAAGACATAAATAATGTAATATCATAAAAAATAAGAATTTATTATTAATGTTAAAATGAGATAAATTTTAGAAATAAAACAGAAAATCAACTTAAATATAAAATGATAAAAAATATGTTTAATCAATTTTAATTCTCTTTGTTATTTATATTGGGTTTGATTAGAGTTATTTATGAATTTAATATTTTTATATTTTAACTATAAATTGTTGGGTCTAGAATAATTTTTATTTATTAAAACTCTTAAATTTGATCTGATCCAAAAATAAAATAAAATAAAAATCACCTAAAAAATTTATTAAAATTGTGCCGTCAAATAATATAAGTATTCCTTCTTCTTTGTTCAATGTTTATAAATTTAAACTTTGTCATTTAATTCCTATACAATAGGATGTAGACAACGTAATGATGCAGACAGTAGATTAAATTGATTTAATAAAAAATAAAATTAGAACCTTATGTACAATTTTAACTTTTTAAATGTAAATGTAGATATCATAGCGATGATAGATAGTAAATTAGATTGATTTGATAAAAAATAAAACTAGAACCTTATGTATAATTTTAACTTTTTAAATGTGAAACACTAAGGTTTTGGCTACCATTTATATCATCAATTTTTTTTCAACTATCGAAAATAATACGAAAGATAGAGAAAAGAGAAAAAAGAAGAAATAAAAAAAAAGAGAAAACAAAGATGTAGTTTAGTAAGTTTATTTTTTTTTGTTATTATTAAATGTCATACATAACAAAAAAACATAAATATAAACAAAATATTTAAGATTAAAATTTTGTAAAGATTTTCAAATGATTTAAGAATGATAAAAATATTTACTTGATTTTTTTTCTATTATGTTTTCCGAGTCTTTACTTCTTACTTTTATTGTATTTTCTTTTTTTTCTCTAGATCTTCAAAATTATCTCCTTAAAGAATTATTTTTTTTGTTTTAAAGAAAATTTTGTTACTGTCTTCTAAAATATTTTATTGCTTCGCCTTCAAAACTAGTTGTCGTCCTTCCTAAATCTTTCTTTTATATTTATATTGGTCTTTATTTTGTATTTCCTAAATATTTCTTTTATATTTATATTAGTCTTTATTTTGTGCTTTTAGTGTTTTAACAAAATGACAAAAATTTTATATTTTTTCTGTTATCATATTTAAAGCTCAACTAAGTGCTGGGTATAAATTTGCATAATGCAGAATTTTTATTGCTAGAACCAAATTAATTTTTAAAGTTATTTTTTCTATTTGTTATGTTAAAATAACTCTATTTTTTTAATATATACTTAAAAATAAATAAATAAAATTTGAGAGCAAAAAATTGATATTCACATTGTTGAAATAAGATGAAAAAAATAAAACTATATTTCATTTATTTGAAAATAAAATAGAGAATAATTAAAATATTTTAAAAAAATTTAAACTTTTGCTGCAATATTTTTTTTATTTAAATTAGTATATTAGTATCTTAATTTTTAGTTTTGTTTTCTTTTAGTCCTTTAAATTATTTTATTTTAATTTCTTAATTTACAGAATATTTAAAATAAAATTTTTTGTTTTGTAAAATTATGAAATTTTATTAAAAAAGTACTTATTATTTTCTTTCTTTGTACCTCATCTAATTTATTGGTTGTTTTTTCTTTTTTCTTCCTCTCTTATCTTCCATTTAGTTCAGGTGACCTTACCTCAAAATATTATATTAAATATTAAATATGAGTTGTTTTAGTTTAACATTCAACTAGTAAATTTTAGACAATACTTTTGAGGTGGATATGTCTCAGCGCATTATAAAGAAATTGTTTTCTAACTCAACACTCACTGCACCGAAAAGGGTACTTCTTATTTTGCTAGTCAAATTTGTTTCAAACTACTAAATTTATGACTAACATACTCTCTCAACATGACTTTTGTGACAATTAGGAAAAAAAAGAAAATGAGAAAACTTGTTGGACAAGAGTAGAAATTGGTTAGGTCAGGTTAAGTTTTTATAAGACTTATGCTTGAGTTGTTTCTCAAATATATCGTGTAATTTAACTTATTTACTTGATGTGATTTTCTTTTTAAAAGTTTAGTCTCATTATTATTATTATTTAACTATATTAACTTATTAAACTTAATAGTTTTTTAAAGTGATTTTAGATTTGACACTTTTAATTAAATACCTTTTAAAAAGATTTAAATATGACTTATTTCATCAATAAGTTTAATTTAACTTATACTTCAAGTAAGTTAAAGAAAATTGAATGATAATTAATTTCTGTCCAACTTACCTCCCTTAGACATTGAGAAAGGCATGATAGGAAGCTAAAGAGCGTACGAGAGCAATAAGTAATTATATAACATTTAACAACTAAAAAAAGGTATTTCACCTCCATAATTCCATCATCTTGTCAAGAAGAAATAAAGTTAATAAATAAATAAAATTTAAATGGTCAAATCCATAAAATTTTGACATTTAAATTTATCCATCTTTCCACAGACGTTGTTGTTTGCTCTATTTTGTGCCTGTGGAACGGGATATATATTATTTAACTTGTTTAAGTTTTAATTAATGATAGGTAATGCATCGCAATTTTTCAACAAACCTATTAAAAAGAAGTCCATACAAGTCCATCAATTTGAGATGTAAATGAGTCTATAGAATCAAAATTAAACTCCATACGTTTATACAGAATTCAATGACTTAACGTGCATGATGTGTATATATATAATCTAGTTTAAAGACCTATGTTCAAAACGTGCGCTAATATTCAAATACGTATAATACAATGCCAGTTTTATAAGCAATTTTCAGAAAGGAAGTTTAAATATTTAAATGAACATAGTTTGAATATCATCGTCAAGAAAAACAAAGATATATTGTAATCGATCTGACTTCTTAAAAAAAATGAATTTAACTGCATAACACTGGTAGTCGTTGAATTCAGCACGTCATGTATGCATAAACTTCATCATGAATAATGTATTTTAAAATACCTAAAATTAACTTTAAACTTGTATTAATGTATTTTAAAATTTACTTAATAGGACACGTGATTTTTCTTTGTTATTTTTCACTCTATCCTCATGAATAATTATAGTAGTTGATTTTTAATATATTGTGATAATTAATCAATAACTAATCATGATCTATTGCACTAATATAATCAACTTCATCATATGCATAAGATAGGATTATAAAATGACATTAAGAATCGTATTTAGTAAAATGAAAGTTTTAATAATTTTTATGTATAAAAAAACTCTCAATCTTATTGTTCAAGTTTTCTCATAAAATAAATTAATTCTACAAAATTATACATAGTTTAAAAACTAAATAATTGTTATCTAATTTATGTATAGTACGTAGATTATTTAAAATATATTTTTTACAAATATTTAAATTATATAAAATTTTATATACATAAATTAATAAATTTTGTAAAAAAATATTTTATTAAAGTTTATAGCATGAATGCTACCATTGATCATAACCGTTGTCACCGCAGTAGATTAAGCACTTAATATCTGGTAAAGTTGTTTCTTATTACTGAAATTCAAAAATAATTTTTTTTAAGTGTGCAATTTGTAGGAGCTGATTCTAACTATTGTGGATGCAATACCCCTAACCTAATCATTGGTTAATAACATCCATGGTTTGTGAGCATTCATTTTAAATGTAAGGAGCTTTTACGTACTGGTTATGTAGACTCACTATTTTATTGATTGCTGCTTCCTTTCCCTTTTAAAACAACGTAACAAATTCTCATTTGATCAAAACTACATATTAAAAACATTTCAATTCTTTGACCAGGATGTATTTGTTGCTGGAATTGATACTTCAGTATCAATTATTGATTGGGCTATGTCAGAATTGATGAAAAACCCAAAAGTTAGGGAGAAGGCACAAGCTGAGGTGAGACAAGCATTTAAAGGAAAAAGAATAATTCATGAATCTGATGTAGAGGAACTGAGTTATTTAAAGTTGGTGTACAAAGAGACATTGAGGCTACACCCTCCTGCACCTTTGTTGCTTCCTAGAGAATGCTCTGAACTAACCATCATTGATGGGTATGAAATACCTGTGAAGACCAAAATCATGGTAAATGTATGGGCAATGGGAAGAGATCCGCAATATTGGGATGATGCTGAGAAGTTTATACCAGAAAGGTTCGATGGTAGTTCTATCGATTTCAAAGGGAATAACTTTGAATATCTTCCCTTTGGGGCAGGAAGGAGAATGTGCCCGGGCATGGCTTTTGGTTTATCCTTAATTATGCTTCCTTTGGCTCTTCTACTTTATCATTTCAACTGGGAACTTCCAAATGGGATGAAACCTGAGGATGTTGATATTGTTGGTATGGATCAATAAATATACCAGATTTTGTGTGTAATTAAGATTATAGCTGTTGAGATTCCTAAGATTAAGGGATGACAGTAGTTTAGCATCAGATATTTTGTTTCCTTTTATACCTCCCTAAAATTACTCCTCTGTAACTGTATTTATTTGACTACCTTATGAATGAAAAAGGCAACGAATTATGTTCTGATATGGTATCAGAGTGCAAGGTCCTGAGTTCTTATGAATAGATCCAGAAAGGGAACTTGCGCTTCGTGCATCAATGGAAGACCCACCATCACCAACAACCAAGATAGCCAAAACCTCTACTTCCTCTGAATCCATACTCGAAAGTTTAAAGGCCAAGATAACACAAGCCATGACGATAGCCAATACCTCATCACCCATCTCTGATTCTACTACAGTGCCAATAAATGTAAAGTTAGATGGATTGAATTATGTGTTGTGTGTAACGCCCCAAAATTTGTAATCTTAATTATTGATAATTATATAAAAATAAATGTATTTTCATATGTGTATTTTTAGAAATGTGCTGTGAATATGTGTGTGTGTGTATGCATGACTGGATAGGGCTAAAATGAGCTAAGTGTCTGAGTATAGGGCAAGAGATTGGGCTGTTCTCGTTGCAGCGAGAGAATTCTCGCTGTAGCGAGAGGGCCCTGGGAGGAAGGACCAGAACTTTCGCCTTCTCGCTGTAGCGAGAACGCGACAATCTGGGGTGCATTTCTGGGTGCAGTCTCGCTGTAGCGAAATTCTGCAGAAACCAGAGTGCAGTTTTCTTTGATTTTTTCGCTGTAGCGAGGGGGCGTGTCGCTGCAGTGAGGGGATCTCGCTGTAGCGAGAATGTCGCGATCAGAGGGGTTTTAAAAGGGGGTTTAGGGATTTGAGATTCATTTCTCAAATTCCTTCCCAAATCTCTTCAATCCTCTCGACCTAGAACCTTTGTCCACCGATTAATTGCCTCCAAAGCTGTTCAGGAGTGAGATTGGAGCTCGGATTCGTGTGGCGAATGCTTGAAGGTGAGTTTTAATGGTTAGAATTTCGGTTTTCCTTCCCTTTATCTGATTTTGGGTGATTTCTGGGGTTCTCATGGAAACTAACCGTGTGTTTAGGCTGAGATCTGTGTGGAAAACACTCCCATGGTTGACTTTGAGTGTGGGTCTTCAATTTGATGTAAGGAGAGACTCTACCCTACTCTTTTATGTGTAATTTGCTGTTATTCTGTGAAATGTTGTGATGTTGCTGAGTTAGAAGATAGGAAATTGTTGAGATATGTGATGTGAATTATGTACTGGATGATGTGAATGGGTATGGGGTCTTGTGCCGTATAATTGAATGAATGTTGTGTGAAAATGTGGGCCCGAGAGCCGTGTAATATGAATGGAAATAGACTAGGGACCTTGTGTCTTGAATAAATTGTGAGCTATGTGGTGTGTGTGCTGTGAAAATGAAATGTGGGTCTAGTGCCGTAACTGTTAAATATGGGCTATGTGCTGTATACTGAAATATGTGTGACTAGGGCGTGAAACGCCATTATATTGTGTTGTAAATAATTCAGCGATACACTGGGGTGTGAGAGATGAAGACGGTAGAGATACCTTGGGAAAGAGGGAGTGATGGTGACACCGACTGTGGAACGGGTGCACCACGACCACACACTCTCTTCCTGACTAGACCTCTGACCATTACCTTTGATGAGCGATCCGTGACTGCCCACGTGGTATCCGTGAGGCGGGGGTAACCGGTGAGCATTTATGGTGTAAATCTGTGATCACAGTGTCAATATGAGTGTGGCTGGCGTGCGTATGCATGAGTTCATGATTTGTACTGGTGTATGTGATAATGTTGCCTGTGCCTGTATCTGTTTAATGTATTGGAAATGTGTTGGAGGTGAGACTCTATGCTTAATTGTATGTTTTGGTAGTGTAGAGTATTCACCCTTATATTCATTTTTCAGGTAATCAAGACGATCAGCACTGGACTCAGTGAAAGGGGCGGATGAAACTGCTATAGGACTAATATTTTAATTTTAAAATAATGTATTTGAATGAGTTCTGTAGTAGTGACTTGATAGAAATTGTAACCCCTTTCCTTATTTTTAAAATATTTGATGAAATCAAGGGTTGAGAACCTTATTTGAAATGAAATTTATTTTATTCCGAATTTGTGAAATTATGATTTATTGAAATTAAATATAAGATGTTACATTGTGGTCTCAGGTTGTTGAGATGTACATCGCAGGCAAGGACAAACTAGGGTACATTAATGGAGATCTCTCACAGCCACAAAAAAATGACCCATCCTTTTGAAAATGGCAAACTGAAAATGCCATTGTCAAAGGGTGGTTGATAAACTCAATGGAGTTCTCCCTAGTCGGAAACTTCATTCGTTTCCCGACGGCTAAACTGGTTTGGGATTCAATCGCTACAACCTACTTTGATGGTTTAGACTCATCACAAGTTTATGACCTTCAGCGACGTGTGAGTCGAATACGACAAAGCGGTGGATCCATCGAGAAGTACTACAATGACCTGCAAGAATTGTGGCGTGAAATCGACTTCTGTTGTCCTAATCCAATGGAATGTACCTCAAATATACAAAAATATAACTCTCTCATACAGGATGAAAGAGTCTATGTTTTTTTGGATGGATTGAATGACAGACTTGACAACATTAGGAGTGATGTTCTTCAGCTGAAGCCTTTCCCCACTGTTGACTAAGCTTATGCATACGTCCCAAGAGAGGATTCTCGCCAATCAGTGATGTCATCTAGGTTGGAGACTCCCTCTGATGGTGCTGTTATGATCATCAGAGGGGGTAAACAACCACATTTGATGAAGGGAGGATTAGGAACAAACTCTAAGAATCAATTTGGTGGGGGAAAGTGCACACGAAGCACACTCGAGATACATGCTTTAAATTGCATGGCTATGCAAATTGGTGGCATGAGTTAAAAGCCCAGAAGAAGCAGGGGACCATCACAGGAAGTGCTCCAGGAGGTGCATCAGGAGGGACAGGGTGAGTTGCTATTGTTACTACCTCTGAACCTCAATTATCCCTCACTCCTTCTACAGATTCTCTCACAGATAGTGGTAAAGATCCTTGCATAGACACTGGTGGAGGTAATTGTGGATAGGTTCTTTGTATTACTAGAGCTCCCAATAACCATAATTGGATTATTGACTCTAGGGCAATGGATCACATGACCTTTGATCCTAGAGATTTCTCTCATATGACTTTACCACAAAGAACACATATTACTAATGCTAACGGAATCAGTTACCTAGTTATTAGGACTGGAATAGTTCTCATATCCCCTTCTTTGTCCTTATCTCATACTCTTTTAGTTCCATCCTTATCAAATAAATTGTTATCAATGAGTTAACTTACTGAAGAACTTAATTGTGTAACATTGATGTATCATTCATTCCGTCTTATCCAGGATATTCTTAGCAAGGAGATCATTGGATGTGGTACTAAGCGAGGGGGTTGTACTACTTAGATGACTTCAGTCCAGGGAGAGCAAATCTAGTGCCACACATGACCACAAGCAAGGAAAAACAACTTTGGCTATGGCATCGTAGATTGAGGCACCCACCGTTTAGCTACTTAAAACATCTTCTACCAAATCTTTTTTCATGTTCATAGAATATAAAACTTAAGTGTGATACATGTATTTTAGCTAAAAGCCATAGAGTCTCTTATCCAGCAAGTTTAAATAAAAGTTTTGCTTCTTTCTCTTTAATACATTCTGATGTCTGGGGGCCTTCTCTGATTCTTCCTCCTCTGGTTACCGTTGGTTTGTGATCTTTGTTGATGACTGCACTCGAATGACCTGGTTGTACCACATGAAAACTAAGGATGAAGTGTTCTCTATTTTCTAGACCTTTCATACCATGGTTCAAACCCAATTTTCCAAGCAAATACAAGTTTTTCGCTCTGATAATGGCAAGGAATTTATTAACTGCAAATTTCAGGCATATTTCTATGACCATGGTCTGATTCATGAAACATCCTGCTTACAAACTCCACAACAGAATGATGTAGCTGAAAGAAAAAATTGCCATATTTTGGAGACTACACGAGCATTACTTCTTGGAACACATGTACCAAGTCATTTTTGAAGTGATGCAGCTGCTACCACTGTACATTTACTCAATAGGATGCCATCAAAAGTCTTAAAATTCAAGACTCCCTTACATATCTTATCTACTCATGTCTCTCTCCCCACAATTCTTATGCTCCATCCTCGAATCTTTGGTTGTGTTGCATTCATTCACCTTCATAAAAATCAGCGAACAAAGCTAGATCCATGTGTAGTTTGATGCTTATTTCTAGGCTGTAGACTGCATCAGAAGGGGTATAGGTGCCTTGATCCTACTACCAATCGCACCTATATCACCATAGATGTGACGTTCATTGAATCTGAGCCCTTCTTTCAACAACCTGTGCCTAATTTACCTCTTCAGGAGGAGAATACAAATGAAGAGCCAAATTGGTTAATGGCTACAGAAGTTGAAGGAGTTGAATTAAGAGGCTCTCTACAAGGTAACCCTGTAGTGGAAGGTCTACAAGGTAACCCTATAGTGGAAGGCAATCTAGAACACAACCCTATAAGGGAAACAACAACAAGGATGGAGATAGGAAATGGGGAGAATGAAACTGACAACTAACAACCTACACATGAAGAACCAGAACCAACTACACTCCCTCTCACTTTAGTACCTGAAGAATTATCTCCTATTGAGAATATTCCCGAGGTAAGATCCCTTAACACCTATTTAGATGCAAACACTTTAGATATTACTGCTGTATATGCTTTGCCTTTCAGATATAACTGAGGAAAACCTTCAAATAGATATTCTCCTAATGAAAAAGAAAAGAGATCAAAATATCCAATTGCAAATTACGTGTCTACTCAAAGGTTTCCTAAAACTATCAAGAATTTTGCAAGGACTCAATCTGCCTGCCATATCCCAAGTAACATTGAGGAAGCTCTAGCAGACTCAAAGTGGACACAAGCAATACAAGAAGAGTTGGATGCGTTACAAAAAAACAACACTTGGAAGTTGGTCCCATTGCCTGCAGAAAGGAAACTAGTGGGGTGCAAATGGATTTTTTTCCATAAAATACACAGCTGATGGATCAATCGATCGGTATAAAGCGAGACTTATGGCAAAAGGATTCATGCAGAAATATGGTGTAGATTACGTGGAAACTTTTTCACCGATGGCCAAACTAAATACTGTTAGAGTATTATTATCTCTTGCAGCCAATTTAGATTGGCCATTACATCAACTTGATGTAAAGAATGCATTTTTGCATGATGATCTTGAAGAAGAAATTTACATGGAAATCCCACTAGGTTATACAGTATCTTCCCAAACTAAATTTGTATGTAAGCTGGAACGAGCATTGTACGGGTTGAAGCAATCACCACGAGCAAGATTTGGACGATTTATTCTTGCTATGAAGAAATATGGCTATCATCAAAGCAATTCAGACCATAAACTCTTCTTAAAACATAAGGAAGAAAAAGTAATTGCTCTTATAATATATGTTGATGACATGGTTATCACAGAGGATGATGTACAAAAAATTTCAAGGCTGAAAAAATAATTGTCGGCTAAATTTGAAATGAAGAACCTCGGTGGACTCAAATATTTTTTGGGAATCGAAGTGTCAAGGTCACAAAGAGGAATATTCCTTTCCCAAAGGAAATATGTGCTAGATCTATTGACAGAGGTGAGATTATTAGATTGTAAACCAGTAAGCACACTAGTTGTTCAGAATCATGGACTTGGAATGTACACTGATCAAGTGCTAGCTGACAAAGGAAGATACCAAAGACTAGTGGGTAAGCTTATTTACCTGTCTCATACTCACCCTGACATTGCGTATGCTGTGAATGTTGTGAGCCAATTTATGCACTGTCCTAGTAAAGATCATATGAGTGCAATGATGCGTATTCTTCGCTATCTAGAAGTTTCACCATGGAAAGGGTTGATGTTCACCAAGAATGGTCATTTAGATGTCACAGGATACACAGATGTAGATTGGGCATAGAATATCACAGACAGAAAATCCACTTCAGGCTACTTCACCTTTGTGAGAGGAAACTTAGTCACATGGAGAAGCAAGAAGCAAAAGGTGGTAGCACTATCCAGTGCTGAAGCCGAATTTAGAGATATATCTAAAGGATTGTGTGAGCTTTTATGGCTTCAAAAATTACTAAAAGAAGTTGGATTCAGTCTTACCTCTGAAATGAATCTATTCTGTGACAATAAAGCTGCTATCAGCATGTCTCACAATCTTGTCTAACATGATTGTACAAAGCAAGTGGAAGTAGATAAACACTTCATAAAACAGAACCTTGAGGAGAAGATCATCGAATTCCCTTTTGTCAAATCAGAAGACAAACTTGCAGATATTCTTACAAAAGCTGTTTCTAGTAGGGATTTTCATAACTCACTTGACAAGTTGGGTGTTAGAGATATCTACGCACTAACTTGAGGGAGAGTGTTGGTATGGGTCAACAAATATACCAAATCTTATGTGTAATTAGGATTATAGCTGTTGAGATTCCTATGATTAAGGGATGACAGTAGTTTACATCAAATATTTTGTTTCCTTTAATACCTCCCTAAAATTACTCTTATGTAACTGTATTTATTTGAATATCTTATGAATGAAAAAAGCAACGAATTATGTTTTGATAGATATGACAGAAAACTTCGGATTGGCAATTAGAAGGAGAAGTAACTCGTATTTGATTCCTACCGTTTATGATTTAGTGTCCTCCTGTAATATTAAGCTCATTCAGGGGAGTACTGTTTCATGAAATTAGAAATAAAAGTTCGTGTTCAATATAGGATGTAGTGTAATATGCTATATCTAGGAATAGAAATAAAGGCTAAGTTGTCCAACTTGCCATTGTAGCTTTATTTGTACAACAGTCTATGTTGAACTTTGCTATGTTCTAGGCCACGAACACAACAACGTATGGAATGAAGCCACCCGTTTATTTTTCTGTGCCATTTCTAAGTTTTTCTCTATTTGGTTCCTGTAGAATACATTAGCAAGAGAGTTTTGGAAGCAGAGGAAAAAGAGAGTATAATTTTAAATTTTAAATTTTAAATTAAGAGAATTATATACTAGTTCTGATAATAAATGCAAGATTAATACATAAAATTTAAGTTAATATATTTATTTACATATTTAATTTAAAAATATTAAATTTAAATATATTTATTTAAAATAAAAATGTTGTCCTCTCTTCTTTCCCTTAAAAACTCTCTTTTCTAAATGACTCCTTAATAAATGGGAAAAAAAAGTAAAAAAAATTGTATAATTAAGGTAGAAGATATTGTCAGCCCTAAATAGGATTTGTACGTGTTATTTTTCTAGTTGAGTGAAAGAAAAGAAATAGGTAAAGGAACACGCAATTTGAATTAGGCAACGTATGCAATCTGCGTGAATTGGAACGTTGATTTAAGGATTTTGTATTGCTTGTTGTCAAATATAATGCATGGGAGAACATTTGATTCTTTGCTCACCATTGAGAAGTGCCAAATTCTGATTCAGCCTTCTTTGTAGAAGTCTTCAAGAAAACTCTCCACAGGTTTTCCGATGCACGGAATACCCAAAAGCGTAAACCTCAAATTTCAAAACCCTTGTTGAAGCTATCAATGCTAAGAAATTAGGCAAAATTTTTGTCATGAATCTTATGCAGGATTCGCCACATGCATGCATATATCGTTTTCTAAAAACTACTTAATTACGATACATTTTTTTCCTGCCCTGCCCCTAGCTTTAGTTGACATTATTTATGGTTGTGGATGAAGGAAATTTATCATATCTCTAAATCAATTTAATCATATATTCATATATTTTATCATCAATCTTTCTTCAAACCTCATTAGGAAATAGGATAACAAAAACACTATGAGCACAACTGTATTCTATTTAATGGTCAATGTTTTACTCACTTGATATAAGACTGTTTTATGGGAATTATTTCTTATGACTATGTTAGATGAGAATAAAAATTCTTTAGTAGATATTATATTGAGTGGCCCAATCTACCCATACAAAACAAAAATCAGATTACAATTTCATCAATTAGTCATGTATCAAATTATTAATATCTATATTTGATATATTTAATTATTAAATTGAAATATTTATTCTAAATGATTAATTAATAGTAATCTACAAATAAATAATCCAATAATTTTTTTATTGAAAATAATAATATTTATTATCTTAAAAATATTAAAAAAATTCCATACATACTTTAATGACAATTTAAAGTGTTTAATATAATATATTTAAAAGGTTTTTAACGTGTATATCTGGACACACATTAAAAAAATACTATGTTTTTTATTGGTGGTGTAATCCTTATTAACTAGATTAACTTTCGTGGGCAATGGGAGCCTTTGTTAGTTCAACAATGATCCTTAAACAGCCCAATGGGCTGAGAAGAATTCCCTCTCTTGGCCCAAAATGGAGTGCAGATGATGGCTGTGGGCCGGGTAACACACGGGTTGACGTTGCTTCAATTTATTTACGTCCCAAATCAGATGTAAAAGGATGATGTAGCATGGTGGCGTCAAATTTTCAATTTCAAATTCAACTTTAGCTTATCATTGATCGCAGCAAAACCCGTGATTGGTTTTGACCGACGAAAGATTCGAGCAGATGCTAATTAGTATCCAATTTTTATGTCTTTTCATTCCATGAATGCATGGCATTGGCATGTGCACACCAAATGTTTGATTATTTGCGCCACCCAGCACAGAAAAACAGTTCCTCGATTATGAACACAAGCATGAACGTAGACAACCTTGGAAGAGCTGAATGCGGATGAACTTGAGGCAGTTCTTCTGCAAGGTTAACCTGTTCAACGGGTTAACCTTGCAAGTGCAAACTCGTTGCTATGCTCGTTGTCGTGACCCATTTCCTACCAAAGTTTCTCACTACCTAAACCGTGCCAAGTTCATTGACTCCATTCGACTCACTCTACGCTCCAATACCCTCAACTCCTCACTTCCTTCTCTCATAAACCACCGTCTCTTTGACTCTTTCGTGGTCACTCACGCACTGCGTTCTGCACCTTCTCCAGATTCCGCTCTCTCCCTTGTCGATGCCCTTGAAAAAAGTTCCCGTTTTTCGCATACCCACAACACACTCCATGCACTTGCCACTGTTCTTGCTAAGTCTGGTCGATGCTCTGACCTCAAATCTCTCGTTGATGCTATCCGAGCTAACCAGTTTGGCACTGTTCAGATTAGCTTTATGAATCTCATGCAGTGGCATGCTGCAGCTAGGGACCTTGACTCTGTCCTTCAAGTCTGGGATCAGTATAGACTTGAAAATGACAGTGTCTGAACTGAATCTTATAACATTGTTATGGCTCTTTATGCACACATGGGAAAGGACTTTTTCGCAGGATGATTGATGAAGGGTCGCTTCCTAATTGCTGAAGCTATACTGTAATAATCGAGCACCTTGTGAAATCCTTGAAATTGTCTGAAGCCATGGTGTTGTTTCACCTGTTGCCTTCAATGAGGATCAAACGCACTTTGAAATAGTACTCCGTTCTGATTGAAGGTTTCATGGGTAGCAAACGGTTTGATGAAGTCGGAATTTTGGTTGATGAAATGCAAGGTGATGGAATATTGCCTAGTAGAGGCATGAGTTTGTTGCTACAGCAGATGCAGGAGGAAGGTATTCTTAAGGAGAAGGACCAGTTATTTAGAGAAATTTTGCCCAATGAAAGAATCAAGAATGTGAGTTATTCTATTGATAGCGGTGATAAGGATGAGGATGAGGATGAGGATGAGGATGAAGATGAAAATGAGGGAGAAGATGAGAAGATAAGTGGAGCTTGTCAATGTGATCAAGTTGATGGGATTCATTTAAAACCATGGCTGGATCCGCGGGCTTTGGCCAGTGCCTTGAAGAATTGGAGTCCTGATGAAGTAGCAGCACTAGAGGGTGCCGACTTTGTATGGACAACCAGGTTGGTTTGCAAGATGCTTAGAAATTTCAAAACACCAGAAGATGAGAAGATAAGTGGAGCTTGTCAATGTGATCAAGTTGATGGGATTCATTTAAAACCATGGCTGGATCCGCGGGCTTTGGCCAGTGCCTTGAAGAATTGGAGTCCTGATGAAGTAGCAGTACTAGAGGGTGCCGACTTTGTATGGACAACCAGGTTGGTTTGCAAGATGCTTAGAAATTTCAAAACACCAGAAGTTGCATGGAATTTCCTCTGCTGAGTTGCTAATCAACCTGGATTTACTCATGACAAATACACTATACAAAGAATCATGACCCTTTTAGCACGCCATGGACGTACTGAGTTGGTTGATAGACTCATCTCCAAGATCAGAATGGAGGGAATAAGACTACCATTCAGCGCCATCAGGCTAATCATTGACTTTTATGGGATTTCAAAAAATGCTGATGCTGCTCTCAAGCTTTTCAATGATGATCGAAGACTTTGTGAGCCCATATCAAAAGTTAATCTTATGATTCTATATTCCTCTCCTCTAAGAACATTAACAAAGTGTGGAAGAAATTCTGATGCCCTGGACATGCTTGATGATATGATTTTAAATGGTATTTGCCCAGATATCCAGACATTTTCAGGCCTCGCGCGCTATTTTTCACACCTTGGAGACATAAAAATAGTGCAGAGACTCTTTGCAATGGTTAGGCAGAGCGGTCTAGAGCCAGATGCTTATTTGTTCAAGGTATTAATACAAGGTTATTGCAAGTCAAACAGAGCTGCACTTGCATGGAGGCTATTTGAAGACATGAAGAATTCAGGTCTGGTGCCTGACTCATCCACAAAAGAGTTGCTAGTGAAGAGCCTCTGGAAAGAGGGGAGACGCAGGGAGGCTGCAGCGGTGGAAGAGAGTTGCGAGGAAATAAATATGGTCCTTCCACTCGCATTGCAGGGTCATGTATGGACTGTCAGCTCTGCAGATCTCATAAGAGTTTATAATATTTATTCAAATTGTTTCGCTTAAAAAGGGGGAAGGGGATTTTTCATGCATGAAATTGCACCACACATTATAACAGATGAAAAACAATACCCAAAGTCCTTGAGATTTTTTCAGAAGGGGAGAGGGCTGCAACAATATGTTTAAGTTGCAGTAATTATTAATTATTAGAGTTCTGATGGCTACCGTATGTTTCATTATATCCACTTCATCAAGTACTAGAAATCATATTTGCTTAATCACAAAAATTATTGAACGTCTAGTTGAAGTGTGGAGAGTTACATTCAGTTTGCTGCTGAGTTATGCACTTTGCAGGGAATCTAATAATTATCATTTTTTTTATTGTTATTGGTTATCTTATTGCAATTTTCATTCCCTTTTATTTTTCTTAGAACATTAGTTGGCTTACAAATTTCAGTTTTGATGAATACACAAAAGCTGCACTCAGCTATTCGAAAAAAGGGGAGAGAATGGCGTAAGAGAGGGTAGGTTTAGGAGGAATCTAGCCCCTGTGACTATTAACCTATACCAATTGGCTACATCCATTATTTGGTGCACGTCTTGCTCATCTGCTGAAGACACAGCTCATTTGATTAAAAATTAAATGAAGGCCAATTTGTTGAGGTGTTTTATTACGCTGAATCCAATGCAAATAGACGATTCAACATTCTAAGCTGTTTGTTGCCTGAATAAATTATAGTAGCATATTTTGGTCTTGGGCCCTTATTAAACGTCAAACTAAACATCCCTACGCCAAGAGATCTGTTCTCACATTGCTAGAACTATAAGTCATATAATAGGCTTTTTTATTTTAGTATTGTAATTT